CACCTTCTTCCCCTCCAGAGCTAGGAAGCGATGCTCAAAGTGAGGACCAGAGCTCCCCCAAAGTGACCCAAAGCCATTCTCACTGCCAACAAGGTCCCAAGCTCCTCAGAGGATGAAAACAGCCAAGCTCATCAGGAAAGCCAGCTCTCCACAGTTTCTACCAGCTCCCAATAGCCTCTCTCAGCTCCCAACAGCTTGCTTCTTCTTTTCCAGGTCTACCTCTTATGCTGCTGGCAGCAGTCCTCAGGTGGGCCTCCCACACCAGCACCACACTCACTCAGTTCAGCTGGGGGTTATAACCACCAGTTACCAATCCACTACACCTGCCCCCCCCCCCCCGAAAAAACCCTCTACAAATCTACTAAAAGTTGGGCTGGGGATTTAGCTCAGCAGCACAGTGCCTGCCTGGCAAGCACAATGGTTGTGAGTTCGATTCCCAGTACCAGAGAAAAACCAAAAAAAACCCCAAACAAATCTACTAAAAGTCACAAGCCTGGGACCCCCCAAACTATATGTCCTTCCTAACAGCTGGGTCCCAATTCAGGGTCTTGTTTCTGTGTTTGTGACCTGCAGAGATGGGCGGTAGGAGGAGCTCCAGCTACCCGGCTGGGCTCTGGCTGCAGGCCCCAGGGTCAGCCCTGCTCCTGCACCCTACTTGCTCCCGTGAGCAGGGCTGGTAGTACCAGGCTGCCCAGAGGGGCCAGGGGGGCAGTGGCCACAGAATGACAAAGCCACCATTCATGGGCTGTGGCCACAAGGCCGTGCATTTGCAGAGGGCTGAGCCTGCACATCTGTGCAGTCCGCACGGATGACATTTCTGCTTCCTTACACTCGCCTGGGGCAGCCCTGGTTATCTTTTTTTTTTTTTTTTTTTGGTCTTTTTGAGACAGGGTCTCACTATGCAGCTCAGGCTGGTCTTGAGCTCACTTTGTAGCCCAGGCTGGCCTCAGACTCACAACAATCCTCCTGCCTCAGCCTCGTGAATGCTGGGATTACAGGCATGTGCCATCATGCCCTTCTAAAAAATATTTTAGGAGTACCGAGCAGGAACCCAGGGCCTTTGCATTGAGCGACATTCCCTTTTATTTTATTTTTTTGTCTTTTCAAGACAGGGTCTCACTAGGCAGTTCAGGCTGGCCTTGAGCTCACTTTGTAGTCCAGGCTGGCCTCGAACTTGCAATGATCCTCCTGCCTCAGCCTCCCAAGTGCTGGGATTACAGGCGTGTGCCACCATGCCTGACAGGATCTTCCTAAATTGCTAAATTGCTCAGGCTGGGCTCGAATTTGGGATCCTCCTGTCTCAGCCTCCTAGAGGGCTGGGATTACAGGTGTGCACTCCCCCTCCTCCCTCATCTCCCTTTGAGGAAAGAGAAACTGAGGCTTGGCTGGGACAAAGTTACGAGGCTCCCAATGGCTTTCCAAGAGAAAGTCAGGCCACCCCTCTTCCTAGCCCAGGTAGAGATCCAGACTGTAGGACCCAGGCACTGCCCCTGCATCCGGGGAGAGGCTAGGCACCTGGAACGTGTGACACGGGCCTTCCAGGAAAGCCAGCTGCGCCTGCAGAGGAGGGGCGAGGCTGTGAAGTCGGTGACAAGGGGAGGGGCAGGAGGATATAGCAGGAGGCCCTGGGGTTGGGGGGCGCAGCGCAGTGATGCGTGGGGAGCCCCCGCCATCCCGTGTGCCACACACCGCGAAGGCCCTGGGGTCCTCCTGGCTGCCGCAGGCAGAGGGGGGCCTGGCTAGGGCGACTGTGCCGCCTGCAGCCCTTCCTGGTGGCTTCCAGTGGGTAGGGTGCAGGCCAGCCTGTTCCCTGTGCCATACCTTCATTTCAGGTTACTCAGGCGGCATCTGGCTTCCCGTGGGGCCCAGGGACACCACGTCCTCATCATCCCCCCCAGGGGCCTGGGCGGGGCTTGCAGAAAGTGCTTTGTGACTTGCTGGGGAGCAAGCGGCTCCCCCTCGCCAGCTGGACACCATGGGCCCCAGGGACTAAGGTGCAGGCAAAGGTGGGTGTGGAGCAGGGAGGAAGTGTGTGTGTGTGTGTGTGTGTGTGTGTGTGTGTGTGTGTGTGTGTAGCTACAGATTGAACCCTTCGTGCTGAGCTACATTCCCAACCCTTTTCTTTTTCTTTTTTGTCTTTTTGAGACTGGGTCTCGCTATGCAGTTCAGGCTGGCCTTGAGCTCACTTTGTAGCCCAGGCTGGTTTCAAACTCACAACAATCCTCCTGCCTCAGCCTCCCGAGTGCTGGGATTACAGGAGTGCGTCACCACGCCCGGTTTCCCAACCCTTTTCTAAATTTTTATTTTTGAGACAGGGTCTAGGTAATTTGTTGAGTTGCCCAAGCTGGGCTTGAAATTGGGATCCTCCTGCCTCAGCCTCTCAGAGTGCTATTATAGGCACGTACCACCATGTCCAGCTTGCTCTGTATCAAGACCCTGGCTCACACCAAGAAATAAAAAAGGCCTGGGAATGTCACTCAGCACGAAGGCCCTGGGTTCAACTCCCAGAACCCCAAATAAAACAAAGCCGAGTTGAATATATGTTCATGTTTGCTTTTCTTCATTTGAAGAATGGCTCTAACCACAGTTATCGAGGGGGTGGGGTGGGAACTGGGCAGATGAAGGTCTTTCGATGGCCTTTTGATACTTGAACTGTGCAGATGTATTGTCTATTCCAAAGGGAAAAATGGGAACAATAAGAATAATAAGGCTTAGCTTGAACGTCTGCTGAAATTAACCTCAGTTCTCCACACCACAGAAAGCCCCCTGTAAGTCCCAGGCTGGGTTTTCCCCAACATCTACGGGTTTTCCCCAGCATCTATGGGTTTTCCCCAACATCTATGGTCCAGTTTTGTTCCCTCAAACTGAAATCCTCCCTGGGAAATCCAAGGTTCCCCTCTCCCTGGCTCCTCCCTATCCCCACCCCCCACTACCAGGATTTGAATCCCTCTGCATGGAGCTACATCTCTAGCCCTTTTTGTCTTTTTTTTTTGTCTTTTTGAGACAGGGTCTCGCTATGTAGTTCAGGCTGGCCTTGAGCTCACTTTGTAGCCCAGGCTGGTCTTGAACTCGCAGCGATCCTCCTGCCTCAGCCTCCCCAGTGCTGGGATGACACGTGTGCACCACCATGCCCGGCTCAATTTTCATTCAACAAACAGGCAGAAAGCTTGGTGCCTGCTCCTTCCCACTGATCCTAAAATTTGGAGGAGACTGCGCTTGGCCCCTCTGCGAATAGTTAGATGACTAATCACACAGCTGGCAGTTATTGAGCTCTGTGCTCACCAGGCCCTGGTTTAACTGCTGATGAGTGGAGTTGCCAACTTGCCCTGGTTTGCCTGAGAGCTTCCTGGCCAGAGTGCTGAGTCTCACGTTCCCAGAACCCCACCCGCCTAGGCTTCTGTCTTCAGAGCCTTTACTTCCCTTCTGTTCCCCAAAGGCAGGGGCTGTTTTTTTTTTTTAGAACCTTTTCGAAACATGGGAAAGGCAGAGATGTGTCTGGACCCAAAGACCATGCCCGAGCCCAACTGCCTCCCTTGCCCAGTTGAGCTTGCCTTCTTCCCACCCAGGGGTCCCCGGGGGAAGCCTGGCCACTGCCACCCTGGTCCCTCAGCAGCACCACTGCAGCAAGTGCCACCAGCAGACACCAGCAGGCGGGTATCAGCCACACCAGTCTCACCGCCACCCTCCCTCCTCCGAGCTTTGGGGCCTTCACACTGAGCTCGGGCCCCCACCACTTTTGAGACAGGGTCTCACTGAGGAGTTACGCTTGAACTTGCGATTCTCCTGCTTCAGCCTCCCGAGGGCTGGGATTACAGGTGTGTGCCTTCACTTCCTGAGGAAGGAACCAAGTGTTGATTTCCCAGTGGCAAGGAGGGCTCTGTGGGAGGGGATGCTCCCCACGTGCCTGCGCTGGGGCTCAAAGCCCAACCATCTCGGATGGTAAGAAGAAGGTGGCAATATCTTTGCTCTTTCTGGGACATCCCTGCAGGGGCTGCTGCAGGCTGCGGTGGCTGGGGAGGCCAGCGGAGCACTGGTCAGCTCGGGCCAGGCCTATGGCTGCAGAGGGCCCCAGGCCCAGAACCTGTGGGCAGCCAGTGGTCACGCTGGCATTCCGGGGCCTGCCCGGCATGTGGGGAATGTTCCAGGAAAAGTCCCGGCCTTTGAGAGGCTCTGAAAAGGGAAGCGTTCCTCGATGGGGTGGCGGGTGGGTGTCCCTTCTGAGGGAGGAGGAGGGACAACGGCGATCCTAATGATGCGGGGCTGCGGCCAGGGTAACACCGCTTAAGGCGGCACTTTTCCAGGGCAGGTAAGAGTCCTGGCTCTGCCCTGCCGGCTCAGGTGGCCCAGGGTGGCCCCTAAGAGTCCTCCTAAACGGGCCACGGCATTCCTGTCCTGCAGTCCATGGCCTGGGTACCTATGCAGCACCAGAATGGGCCATTGGCCACTGACTGCACCCTTGTCACTGAGACCATTTCCCGCTGGCCTTCAGAGTCGGCGGCCCTAGAAGGAAGGATGGGCACCACAGCGGCTGCTGCAGGAGGGCCGGGGGCTAGGGCTGCAGGCCCTTCCCCAGCTTGAGCCTGTCCCAGTCCCCACCCAGCGCCCAACTCCCAGGCCGTCTGTGCTCCCTGCAGGCCCTGCTCCAAGGCCGCCTCCTCGGGCGACCTGGACACCGCTTCCACCGAGAACCGATCCGCATCGTGATCTCTGGCTTCGCTCATCTCCGACCCGGCTCTTCCTCCGAGCTCGCGGGACTGCGCGGTCGTCCCCCGTTGCAGGGGGTGGAGCGACGGCCCCGCGGGGAGCGGGCGGGGCGGGCCGAGGTGCGGGGCTGCGGAGGCCCACGGTGCACGCGCAGGGACACGCGGGGGACCCGGCCGCGTCCCCCTCCCCCCAGGACCGCGCCCCACTCGGACCCGGTAGCTCGCTCAGCCCCGCCGCTTCCCCCAGCCCGGGGGGCGGGGCCTCGCGGCGCTGACGTCACCCCGCCTATAAAACCCCGGGCGCCACGGGCCGGCTTTGTGGAGCGCTGCGGAGGGAGCGCGCGCGGGTTGGGCAGCGAACAAAGGAGCAGGGCGCCGCCGCGGGGGCTCGCCACCCACCTCCCGGCCGCCACCATGACCGCCAACGGCACGGCCGAGGCGGTGCAGATCCAGTTCGGCCTCATCAACTGCGGCAACAAGTACCTGACGGCCGAGGCGTTCGGTTTCAAGGTGAACGCGTCGGCCAGCAGCCTGAAGAAGAAGCAGATCTGGACGCTGGAGCAGCCCCCCGACGAGGCGGGCAGCGCGGCCGTGTGCCTGCGCAGCCACCTGGGCCGCTACCTGGCGGCCGACAAGGACGGCAACGTGACCTGCGAGCGCGAGGTGCCCGGCCCCGACTGCCGCTTCCTCATCGTGGCGCACGACGACGGCCGCTGGTCGCTGCAGTCCGAGGCGCACCGGCGCTACTTCGGCGGCACCGAGGACCGCCTGTCGTGCTTCGCGCAGACCGTGTCGCCGGCCGAGAAGTGGAGCGTGCACATCGCCATGCACCCGCAGGTCAACATCTATAGCCTGACCCGCAAGCGCTACGCGCACCTGAGCGCCCGGCCGGCCGACGAGATCGCGGTGGACCGCGACGTGCCCTGGGGCGTCGACTCGCTCATCACGCTGGCCTTCCAGGACCAGCGCTACAGCGTGCAGACCGCCGACCACCGCTTCCTGCGCCACGACGGCCGCCTGGTGGCCCGCCCCGAGCCCGCCACCGGCTACACGCTGGAGTTCCGCTCCGGCAAGGTGGCCTTCCGCGACTTCGAGGGCCGCTACCTGGCGCCGTCTGGGCCCAGCGGCACGCTCAAGGCGGGCAAGGCCACCAAGGTGGGCAAGGACGAGCTCTTCGCGCTGGAGCAGAGCTGCGCCCAGGTCGTGCTGCAGGCGGCCAACGAGAGGAACGTGTCCACGCGCCAGGGTGAGTGGGGACGCCGCCCCGCGCGGCTTCCGGGCGGCGCACAAAGCGCATCCTCGCAGCCTCCCGCCCTTTTCTCGCCCGCGGCGCCGCTGCTGCCCTCAGCGTCCCTTGCGCCCCGCTAGGCGCGCAGGCCGCGCCGCCCCGCCACGGGTTGCGATCACAGGGCCCCCGAGACCCAGCTCAGGGGTCGCCCTACGCGCAGCAGCCCGCCCAGTCTGAGTTCTCCTCCTGCGCTCTGACCCCTTCGATCGGCGGCCCCAGCTCTTGGGGAGGGGGCGCCCCTCGCCCAATCTCTCGTGCCCGGTTCCCTTTCAGCGGGCCTTTCGTTTAAGCAGCGGAGGAGACGGCCACCACTGGAACCGGGAGTCCGCCCCTGGCTGGCGAGGTGGGGGAGGTTAAGGGGCTTCTGATCGCGCCCAGTGCGCCTCCGCCACCCACCCTTGCGCCGGGCCATGCGCGCCTCCCCCAGCAGCCGGGCGGCCGGAGTGGGGGCTCGGAGTGCCTGGTGTCCCCCGCCCCGCGGGCGAGGCCGCGGCCTTTGTGAGCAGGGGGCGGGTCGCCGCGGCTGGGCCCTCCCTCGCCCCCTTTGTCCTTCTCGGTCCCTGCAGATGGGAAAGCCAGATGCGGCGGGGCGGGGGAGGGTTGGCCCCGGCCTGGAAGGAGAAAGAGGCCCCAGCGCTGCCGCCCGATGGTGGCCTCGGCCCGGGACCCTAGCCCAGGCTGTCCCGGAGGTGGC